TGTTCACATTCTTTAGGTCTGACCCATGGCAAGAGCAAAGGAGGGTCAAGCAAACATCTTTTACTGACCATAAGAAAGGTTTTGAGGCTACAAAATCCAGAGATCCAGTCCAGCTGAATCTGAATTAAAATGTTTAGGTCAAAAATAAAAAGAAAGGAAACGGGAAGGGAACGGAAGTAAGAGATTCAGACTAGCATGTGACGTTTCCTATGGAGGGCAAGATGGTCCGAACGAGAAAAGCTGCGATCACAGTCTGGGCACTGGAACGGTTTGACTCCGGTATGTTTCCGGAAGTGCCGTGTTAGTTCATCAGACCGAGCAAATTTCCATGTGCAACCTTCCCAAGTGCATTTGTAAGGCTTTTCACCTATGAATTAAAAAAAAAAAAGACAATATTTTTTTAGAAACACATGCAACATTGTTTAATGATCCATAAAGAACCTAAAAGAAAAGCCATATTCCCTTATCATCAGTAATTTCACTTAAAATGCCTATTTTTCCAACAGATGATTTGCTTCTGTGTGGAAACAGCAGTAAAATGTGTTCTTCTATATGTCAAACATGCCAGAAATCTGATCTCACATTTGCTCTCTTACCAGCTATGGGTTATTTTCATGGTCAAGTCTTGACGACTTGCTGCAATAGATTAAAAAAACCCTCTGTACCACAAAGAGCTCCAGTGAGATTCCTCAAATTCAACTCCTGGATCAGTCCCACAGATTTCAAGACAATTAATTGTGCTTAATATAAGACTTTTATAAAATAATGAGATTAACTTGATTTCTTCCCAAATTTAGTGAAACTTATGAAGAACAATGTACATAATGCTTCATGTAGAACTTCCACCTATGAAGAAAGGATTAAATGGACTCCTTTGAAGCCATTTATATTCAATGGAATTTCTGACCAAACTGTTTATAAATATATTCTGTAGTTCACTAGTCTGGTTGCTGTCAGTGATCAGGTCTCTAGTTTTATAAAGGCCTGTATCTTCCCATTCTTTTTGTTGAACAAATGTATCCTTCTGTTTAAAAAGTGTATTATCAAGAATAGGAGAAGGGGACAAAGATCAGGAGCCACAGATTGTCTTCACCTTATTCAAACACTTATCTATTTACAATATTTATAGCTTGCTCCAATCCAAACTGACTCTATGCTCATTTTAAATACCAATATGATACAGTAGGTATCCACTTTTCAACGTGGAAAGGAATGGTATCACTCTAATCAATCCGTCAATTCGTATCCACTGACGTTTTTTGTATTCTTAATGTTATAAATGAATACTGTTGATTGAAAAACATAAAATCCGGTATGCCTAACACTTTCATTGTGCTTCTGTTTATACGGTTCCATTTTCATGATGTTTCTTTAATTAGTACTAATTACCATATATCTAAATCCACCTTGGCTGATCTGAATTCCAATAACTTCTTGAAATATGAAATTTCTATGTGATTGTTTATAATTATCGATTAATGAAACTGATAATTAATTAAAGTTCAAATATGAACTTGCTACTGTATAACACATATTTAACTGAAATTGTAATTGAGCTACATCTCTAGTAGGGTTTTGCATAACATTAATACACAAATTAATTACATGGTAGTCTATTTTTATGTAAGACCTTGAATAATTTGTGCTAACACATTTATTATTTATTTAATAAATTTATATTACTACTTTTATTTTATTTATTTATTTAATTTATTTGACTTGTCCCCGCCCATCTCCCCACAACTTTTACAATGAGATTAAAGTTTGGTATCCCTACTTAATTAAAAAAAAAAGAATTTTCAGTGATGTTAATGGCCGCTTCAGCTAGTGATTATAGCTGATTATTATTTGAACTTACTGTACTGGTCTAATTGACTGTAATAAAGTAATTGAATTGAATTGAATTGAATATTTGAACTTATGCCCAAATCCCAATACCAAAATTGTCTAAGTCTGAGAAATGTCACAGCAGCAAGCCAGGTTGCTTTCAATGATGCTATTATTAAGTGGGAAAAGCTGGAATGATAGAAAAAAAGAAGAAAAATGTCCATAATTCCCTTCCCAAGAAACCTTGATTTTCTTTAAAAAGGACATCAGAAACTTTTAAATACAATTTAAAATGTTAAGACTTTTAAATACAATTCAGTGTTTTTGGAAGGAATTTACTGCCAATATAGAAGGGTGTGTTAGTGAATATTCCACTGAGTCACACTTAGTAGACCAGCAAAATAAACCAACTACCAAGCCGAGAAGCAAAGCGTGCCAAGAAGAAAATAAATAACAACCCCTTGAATCTTGTACCTACTTCTAAGGGGAGTAAAGCACTGAACACAGTAAAACGTATTTCCAAAAAAGCATATATAGGATCATACTGAAAGTAAACGTATGCTACGCTTTTGAGTGCTGAAGCTACGCATCTGTAAAATCGTCTAAGCCTCAGACTTAAGACTACAATTAATTTCTGATACTGCATTGTTATACAATGAATGGCTAAATTCAACTACGATATAGCAAGATACATAAACATGCCTGGCATTTGTTTTATATCCTAGTAACACCAGAACAACCCAAATTTGGTGGCAGACTGCTACAGAATGGTAATACAAATCTCTAATGGCTTCTGAAAAAAATGAAAGTAGTATCTTAAGCTTTGGATATGCTTAACAACCCTAGAAAACTAAACAAAATAGAAAGGAGATTTTAAAAACCCCAGAAAAAGTACTGTATTTACGGGGAAAGACGACTAATTTTTCTCTGAAATAATTTTATTTTTTAAAATGGGAGAGTGCCTTAGGTCAGGGTTTTTCAAGCCGTGTTCCACAGAACCTGAGGACTTGAGACTTAAGGGAGTTGTTCTATAACGTCACTATCCTTAACAGCAGAAGTCATCTGATCATCTTTGGATCCTTCACTGGGCTTAAGTCCAAAATATACTACAATAACCTGAGTATAGGAAAGGGTGCAAAGCATCTGAAGGGACTCTTCCTAAAGCAGACTGGCACAAAGAAAGTATTCTTCCCCAAAATATAATAGGGAGCTTTGTCCTCCGCGAGACCTGGCTATTTCAAAAGCTTTCCTAGGTCATTTCAGCATGCACGTTGCTTCACCAGCAGTCAGTCCCAGGAGAAGGGTCCTCTGTGCCTGCTCCTCAGAACAGCCACAATGAGCCTTCTGGAGGACCCGGCTGCTTTGATGTTTGGAGGAGATCCAACACGCTTCACCGGGTGCTCCTCACATGCTTTGCCCAGCCCGACTGTACAGTGTAACCGCATCACACAGCACATTGCAAAGTATTCTACGTTATGTCTCTGTGATAGCTTGCATGCTCAATAGCACCTAAGTCTCAAATACTCCTCTTGGCTGCAGACTTTTTTCAGGGTCTCATTAAGGTTTCTAAAAGAAAAAAAATTACATTTGCTTCATACCTGTGTGTGTTCTTCTGTGGGCCTTTAAGTGAGAGCTTTTAGTGTAAACCTTGTTGCAGCCTTCGTAATCACACCGGTGTATCCTCCGCTTCCTCTGTGTGTCTGGAGATTCTACAGGTAAGGGCCTTTTTCCAGGCTGGACTATAACCGAAGGGTGATTCCTGTATTAAGTTGAATCATATATTAAAACTACAACCTTCTGAACTAAATCTTTTTTAATGGTCTACCACAGAGTTCATTTATTCAATACCCTTTTGTCTTCTGGCAGCATAAATAACATTACATACATGTGGAAAAATTTCAAGCAAGCTTAGCAAATGTCATGGACTTCTGTGGTAATATTTTGGCTAACTTTTCTGCTAGAGATTTGGTTTCATTTATTCTGTGGAATGAACAACCCTCCCTTCCCTCCCATTTTTTTTTTCTCAGCGTGTTAGTGTTTGACTGAATTTTTAAATCACAATCTTGTTTCCCAGCAAGCGCACTTAGTCCCAATTCAGAAACCTCGGGGCTTCCACTGAACTTCCATTACTTTTGTTTACGTGTTTTCTAAATACCTTAGAAAAGGGTTTTTTTTTTTAATGAAATTGATGACTCTCTTTTCATGTTATGAACGCTATCAACTTCTTTTGCTCTACTAAGTTAAACTCAACAGACTTTACTGTTCATCTATTGCTTTAGAGCACGATTAAGAATTTCTGGTTTGGAGCAGGCAAAGGAGTGCAAACTCCTTCAATGCAGAAGACTATTCCTAAAAGTAGAACTAAGACTTATGTTTACACATCATACTCTTTGGATTTCTAAAACTGTGCTTCTGGCTTCCATAAATAAAGTTTTTTTAGCATTTGTTCTGAGTACTGTAATTCAGGGGAGATGCTCATACTGCATTGTGTAGAACTGTACAGACCACAGTTCTAGAGATACATTTGGAACTGGATCCTGCCATGAAAAATAGGACACTGACAATCAATGAAAGCCTGATCTCAATTCTAAGGACATAGAGCAGTATGTATTTTATTCTGGCCAGTCGTAAAAAATAATCTCAGTTGAATAAATCAGATCTGGAATGATGTTCCCCCGGCGATTTGAATGGCCCTACCCTACTGGTATTTCTGAAGAGCCCTGAAGACATGGTTCTTCACCCAGGCCTTTGGCAAGGACAACTGATATCCTTTTTCTTTCTTTTCCTTGTTCCTATCCAGGTTTGTTTTCTCTACCATCACTGTTCCTTTGTTTCGTTTTTGTGTTTTTTGTATTGATCTGTGTTTTTAAATATTTTTCATAATTTGTAAACTGCCTCACTGGGAGTCAAGTGGCATATACATTTAATAAACTGCTGTTGCTATTATTATTACTATCAAAAAGAACTGATGAATCAGTAACACCCACGTCACACAGACAAACCAAGATACATGTGGAATTTTCTTCAATTTTCCTTCCAATAAGGCCACGGGTGACATATTAAGTCATGGTAACATTCAAGGTCTTTTATCTTTTGGCACTATTACTTCATTTAAGTATCTTGCTGCCCTAAATGACTGATTTCCTAAAAGTACAGCACAGAGAATGAGAAGCAAGAATTATTCATGCGTAGTCATTATCACCAATTGTATTTTCAGGAGTTTTTATGTTTTTTATAAAACTTAGGGTTGTGTATGTAGATCTTATGATGATCTTTCATGCACCTTCAAAAGTTAGGATTGGACTAGAAGGTCCCTTTGTTCATGGGTGTCTGTAGAGGGGCAACATCTGTAATGGCATCACAATTAAAGCACCACCCCTTTTGTACATACATGTGATTTTAATGAGTAATATTAAATGCATGCATTCTACTCAAACTTACTCTGCACTACCGTACTGCTCTACTTACATATGCTCTTTGCTTGGGGCACTTAATGGATAAACAGAGATATTCTATATGGAGCAAAACACAATATATGGGACAGTGCCTCCTGTTCTACTGTCCAATTTATTACTTCCTTATTATTAAATAAAGTCCTTAGAAAGCCTTGTTACAGAAACATCTTCTGATGGCTTTGACAAGGACTGGATCTAAGGGAGTGGCTATTATGCAATTGCTCTGCTTGATATTCAGAAAATTGAATGGAGTGTTAGACATCCACTGTCTAACATTTCTCCCATTTTTTCTTCTTGCTAGAGAAGAACTGTTCTGTACAGAAAAATAGCTGCACAATGTCTTTTAATTCAGAGCAACAGAAGTCATCTCCTTGAAACCACCCTCTTTATAATGCACCTAGCCAACCTTGGCTGATCTTGAAAAAAACTAAGCACAATCAGAACTGGTTACTACTTAGATAGGAAACCACAAAGAGATCCCAGAATTCTCGGCTATACTGGGAAGTTGAAAAAAAATATTTCAAAAGGAAGTGTACATGAAGTCAGGAGGAGTTCAGCTTGACTCAAAGGCGACTAACCTAGCTTGTAATGAGAATTCACATTTCCTTTGGTGAGATTCTAGAACTCTAATTAACTACTTACTCTTGTAGCATTGGGGGTGACAGTGAGGTCATCAAAGGAGGAGACATTTGTTCAGGATAATAGTCATTTCTTGGTGATTCCATGCCTGGTTCTACCTTAATAGATTTTTTTAGTGCTGGCTTTTCATAAGATTCGATAACAGATACTACAAGGAAGAAAAAATCGTTAGTGAATGGTAAACAAAGAGAAAAGCTTGGATTTGAGTCTTCTGTCACCATGTTCTTGCTGTATCTTTGCTAAAAATACAGACTACAAATATAACCAGATTCCTCCATTTGAATTAATCTGCATAACTGAATGACAATGCCATCCTATAATAAACCTTATAGCCCAGCCCTTTGTCCTGCTCACTGGCAGTAACTAATCTCTGGGCAGTCAGTGGAAGAAGATGTTATTCTCCCTGCTGCTTCCATTACACTGCTTTCCATAGGAACGTCTAGTGCTTAACACAACTATATCAATCACAAATTAGTAAGTTCAGCAAAGATTTTTGAAATGCGTTATATTTTTTAGAAATGCCATTCCTCCAAGAAACTCAGGTCAGCCACAAGTTTCTTTCTGCCCTTCCATTTATCACAACAGCAATTACAGCAATGGGATACATTAAACCAAGAGGAAAACTAGCTAAAGGCTGCTTAGAAAGAACTATTTTCTTTAGCTCTGTGGATGCTCTCCACTGTATCTCTTTATAAGTCCCTCTCCCATTTACACCAACAAATTTAGGATAATTTAAAGTAGGAGATTAATGGATTCTTTTAAAATTTATGCTGACTTGATAAAAATAAGAGAGGACAGTCCATAAAAGAACAAAACAAACCCACAACACAAATATTTACCTGGCACGCTGCTTGGATTTTCCAGATCTTCTGAAAGAACAGTGGACACCATAATAGGCTGTTGTAGGTGAGGGGCGTACATAAAAGGGACAGGCTGAACTACAAGTGGCTGTATAACAGGAAGTATTCCAGGGCTTCTTAGTCCATGGCGTGAAAGAGCTGCCATTACTGGAGGAATAGTTAAAGGCATGGTGAAAGGCTGTATTCCTGGTGGAGTCAATTTCTTCATGGGAGGGCTGCATGAAGGAAGATTTAATCCAGGGGAAGCTCTCCTGGGTAGAGTCTGGAATTTTAAAGGTGAAGGAGAACTTCCAGCTGAAGGTGGTGAGCTTCGTTTATTCACCGTAAGGTCAACAGGCTCAACTTGAACTCCATTACACAGTCCATCTGGAATCTGGTAAAACTTATTGGACATCATATTTGGTGTTGAATAGATGACACTGTACTTGTTAGACTTCATGTGGTCCATATAACTAGAGTTGAATGACTACAGAAGAAAGGAGGGAAGAAATGAATGACTGGGGATCAGTGACACAACAGAGGAAAAAATGTGTCTTGGAAAGTAAGAATTACTTGTTATTATATTTCAAATCAACATTTCTGCTGAAATAACATTTAACTGACTCTGGAAATAGGTAACACTTTTTGACATCTACAGGAAGTTTTTTATGTAAATCCAATTTATTTGTTATAAATGTTCAGAACACATATTTTGCCACCTCTAACCTATTTTGTAAACTTGCATCTTTCAGAACTGAAAGAATTGTGAGGCAAGGACATTAGGATATTTATTAAGGTTCTAAGTAATTATGACTATCAGTTTTGAAAGATTAATGATGTATCACTCCAAGCATCTAAGCCATGCCAAAAGGCTACACAATCCAGCAATACATATTAGAATTCTCTGCAACACTGCCAAGAAGCTTGGCATGTTGCTCTGAGACTGTAGCCATGTTTATTGCTACCCCAAGTATTTCCTTTGCTGGTTTTAGTAATTAAGCATGGCTTTGTACACCAAATAAGTCACTGTATGAAACTGCTCTAACAGGACCCATAGTAAATCTTTATCTAAGAGAACAAGAAGTTCTCTGCCCTTTGTTCTGCCCAGTGGCAGGTGTTTAAAGAGGATGCTTGATCCATGCATTGTCTGAAATCATTAGTAACACTTACTGACCTGGTATAACAATCCTATTTATAAAACAGCATTTTTAAAACTTGATACTATAAGGCACTGCAGAAGCAAAAGGAAGAGCGTATATTTGGTAAGCTAATTCAGGATGTCATATAACACACAGAATTGCCAAATATCATCTTAGCTATGACAAATTAAAAGTGTTTAAGGCACTAATTCTTATGTGGTTTAGAAATGAACAGACAGAGCATATGGCAGTTGGAGTAGGAATAAAAACAAACATACCACCCAAAACACATTTCAATTACCATGGGAGCCAGCTCTGTCTATCACCCAAGAAAGACAATAGGTTGCATTTGGTGGGTTTTTCTGATGTGTGTGCGTGTGGGGGAATGGGTTGTAAATAATGAGCACAATTCATCCTACTAGGCACACAGGATAATGCAGATATACTATACTATGTAGTATATGTATGGAATTGGGATGCTACTAAAACAAAGGGTATTCATGCACATGAGCTTTAACAAATTTAGGATGGAAGTCAATGACATTGCTCCATTCATGGAAGGATCTCCTATAATAGAAGACCAGTTACATACTCAGAAGATACATTTCCTTAACTACAATCTTTTCATAATTAGAGTGACTATGATGTTGTATCATGGAGAAATTTTGATCTATGTGGTTGCTAAGAGTCAATAATGTTTTGATGATACATAATCAATCAACCATTGCTGTTGCAATTTATATAGAGTTGAGGAATGCCTTCTTAAAAAACTTCTACTGACTTCTTATGAAGCATAAGATTATTTCTAATTAGATACCTTTTATATATTAAGACTCCCTTTTTACTTTGAGGGTTCTCTTTTCCTTGAAAACAGAGTATATCTTCAATTCAATGATCTTAGGGTCAGACTATCTATGTAGTTATTCAACCTCGTGTTGCTTACCAGATGAAATTCCTATTCTATTCTATTCAATAATATTTACATTGCAAGCATGTATACTTAGCATTATTGTCTTATACATAAATAAGACAGAATACTGTAAGGACCTATAGCCAGAATCAACTCTGAATTATATGCATACTCTAACATTTAAATAATATGTCGAAAATCAAATGAAAATTGCAAGTTAGATAAAAACTTTACTGGATTATAAATCACATATGGAATGCTTTAAATTTAAGTCTTCTTTGGACATCAGTACTAATTTTGGGATGCGGAAGAAACATACAAATATATGAAATTTACTAAGGATTCAACCTGTTCCTTAGACAGATTGAAATAAAGGATTTTCATGGTATAACTATGTTGACATACTATAGTCCATTCTATTAAGCGCCATCCGTAAATTCAAATATCTGTATTGGAAGTCATTAGACTGCTTGGACTCAGAAACATCCTAGCGGAGGAACAAGCCATTTTTAGAGCCTCTTATAATACCACTGATATATGGCTAATATTAAGTCATCTAATGAACAAGTCTATAAAAGCTGCTAAACATGTGGGTTTTGTTGATTTTAAGCGCACCTTCACCTGCATATAAGATATTTACAAACTTCGTAAGATTATCTCTGAGAGTAAGAGATAACTCAGCAGGTCACTTGTACAATCTAACATATAATAAAAGAGGAAAACAAGATTAAGCTAGAATAAATGATAGTCTTCAAAGGTACCACTAAGCTTTTTTGTTGTTGTTGTTGCAACTCATATAATTTTATATGACTTTAAAGTGTGACAGTTATCTATCTTCCACAGAAAAAGGCAGAGTATTTTTTGGCATGACCACACTATACAAAGATAATGGCAAAAATATCTGCCAAATCAATCACTAAATATGCAAAGAAAAGTAATGGATGTGCCAGGGAATATCCAGCTATTTATGAAGCTCAACCTACATTATGCCATCAGTTTTTTAGGCAATCATGTGCCAGAACTTTTCCAGGATTATGCTAAGATTACTTTTCAAAGGCATCCAAACTGAAAAGTAATATAATCGAAATAATCTGGAATTTGCTTCATTCCTCCTTTGTCACATAGTCTCACTAAACAGACAACGTTCATGACCAACACCCACTAGTTGCTGGTCTCATAAAGAAGCAATTTTCTATACATGATGTGTTGGATCGCTAAATGGTTTTAAGAGCTCATAGATTTTAAAGCATACTAAGCATTCACTTATATGATGAAATCAGGCATTCTAACAACCAACAGTAAGCCATGATTTGTTATGACAAATGGGGTATTGTTTTGTTTATGTGGATCTTACTTTTCAACCCCATGAATGCCTTCTGGGTGTAGCCGTACAGCGCAAGGCATTTGTGGCTATTACTGCTTAGCAAATTGTCTTGCTGTCAACTCCAGTGATGTGAAAACAGTGTTTACTCCAATATGGGGGGGAAAAATCACATTGTTTCCTATGCAACTTCTTCAACAGGGTGGAGCTCTGTAATTAAATCTGCTCCACAGTTATTCATATGTAGAACCACAGTTTTAAAGTTGCCTACTTTGATAAAGAGATGACAAAATCCCTCAGGAGAGTCCCCCTACTTTTTAAATGTAGTAAAATCTTTTAAAACCATATCCCCAGTACTCAGCAAATACTCTCATTTTCCCTGGCACTCGGGAAGTGTCAGCCTGCCAGAGAAAGAATAAGTCATATTAGTCAAAAAGGAGTAGAAAAGCTGAAATCTGGGCTGAAATGAGAGATGCACCAGACTTATTTTTAGAATGTCATGAGCATCTACTGCAGTTTGGAAGAACAATATTACTAGGAAGCTGGGGTGGGCGGGAACATCTTCAGGAACACAACTGTCATACTTTATGAGTCACCTTGAGCACAATGTGTTATTTTAAATGATTGTTGATTGATTATGGTTCTTAACTACCCAGAGTTGCACAGTGAATGGCAGGAGTCCATATGAACTGAATCAGTGAACAAGTTGGGAAAAGTAGGGTTTGGTAGAGTTTCTGCAGTAGTCTATGCATTACTGCCATCTCTGCCTTTTGGACCCATCATTTATGAATTATTAAATGAGTGATGCAAAACCTGCTCATCTCCTTTCGTAGCTGATTAACATTATTGGCTAATGACCGCATTACAGCTTACATTGCATATGTCTTGAGCTGTTGCAAGTGCCACTGAAATTGGGCACTCCATACCAGTTTGGTAGCAATCCTTCCCCAAGTACTTGAATGGCAACACAATTTAATGTTAATGCCCTAGAAGGGCTGAGCTGATTACGTGCACTAAATCTCAGCCACCTGCAGCAAATTATTTCTGGTTTCTCATTAGAATGGTGCTTTGGACCTTGCTTCTTTTTACGACTACAGGAATTAATTCATGTTTATAAAGTGCATCCAAATAATAAAAGTACTGATTTCTTGTGAATTATTTTTCAGTGATCTTAAAAAAAAACCAATCACAACCACTGAACACTATTGCTTGGATACTTTCTAACAAATATCCATTTCATCTTTGTTTCAAAGTGGCCTTTGCATCTTATATACTACTAGGAATACTCATAAATATACAAAGATGATCTAACTGTATAAGCTTTTCAAGACCAGGACACCCTCAAACGCAAATCTTCTGTCAGTTCTTCCTTTTGCAACTATTTTCCAAGTACGTAAAGAGAAGCAAGACAAACAGGGTTACAGCACCCAATTTGCCCTACATCATCCAAAAGTAAACTTACTTTCTTGAACAATACTAAACACTACTTTCCTATATCCTCTCTGTAGGTTGGGCAGAAACTATTAATCATCAATGCAAAATGTAAACAGGCAAACACACAAAAAGGTTAATATGAAACAATATGCTAATATGGGGGGAAAAGGAAGTTTTAATGCAGTATTTTACAACTGCTAATTCGTAAGGTTTCAACTTGTTTGCAGAGAGGTGTCCTTGTCATTAACAACTGAACTGCAGTAAGCTTTTCCACATTATTCCATCCCTTTCCAGGAAACTGTTGAATTTTTGCCTGCTAAAGGCTATTAAAGAAGAACATTTCTGCCAGAAAAAAAGTGGCTGCCTGTAACAATCAGTATCATTCTGATAAATCTGGATATTATGAGCAGCAGTGTTTTTCAGAAGACAATATTAGAATTTTCTGGTGTTTATGAAGTCAAGAAACCTGTGTCAGTTGGGATTACAAATAGCCTGATTATAATGTAATGAGAACAGACATTAATATTTATACCATTTTTAAATACTGACCACTGGAACTGGTTCCATTGCTTCTTGTTTGATAGGGACTGGGTCAAACATCAGCATCTTCTTTTGTCCCCCAACTTGTAGTGTAGATAGCCGGGATTCTAAAATCAGAGAGGAAAAAACAGGGCAGTTGTAATTTATAATTTACATCATTTAAATATGGTGCTTAGCATTAATAAAGTGTATTTCAACTGTGGATTACAGCAATCAACAAACCATTAAAAAAATCAGAATAAAACTAAACTACAAGTTTTCTTAATAGTTTCTATGTTAAAATTCAAAACCCAGTATCCTTTAAAAAAACATGGCAACAAAACGAAATGTTGGGAAAGGACACACATACGCAAAAATGAGATTGGGTTTCCTTAGTTACCTATCCCTGCACTGGATAAACCTTTTCTAACCTTGTGAGGATTACTTGTGTTGGATCGCAGCCCTCACCCAACTTCCTTGGGTCAACTCCAGAAGAGATACGAAGCATGGAAGGTAAGAATCCCTTCTGCTCTATTCCTTCTTAGAAGAAGTTTAAATCTTTAAATAATAAGAATTTTTCTAACACAAAGTAGAAATGGTATGCCATTTCCAATATTTATTTCTGTAAATAAGACATATAAAAACAATGACATCTTCAGGAAAGGATGGGACTGAAATAGCTGCCAATAACAATTGTTTCTGCTCATAAAAAAGAAGACATTCCTTTTTATTTGTAAAAAGAAAAACTGGGAGTAATTAATTAGGAAAGAATCAACAAATAGATAACTAATCAAGGCTCAGAAATAACGATGCAATTATTCTAAAAAGAAAAGTTTATGAAATAGGACGTGGCAAACATAATCACTGTTAGCTGCAATTGTAAAAAGTGTGACGTGCCTTCAATTTAATTCAAATGAAACGATGCCACTCCTACATTTTGACAGGTTCCATATGAAATGGCTTTGTCCCATATTCCCCAGATTGGCTGTTATCCTAATCCAAATAAAAAAGAATAGAGAAATCCTGGATTTTCATTTATAAATAAGCTTTATAAGAGCATCGCCAGTATGCTATTCATGAGGTTTAGTGGTGAATGAGATTGAGTATGTATCTGCACAGGCAAGACATGGGTCATGTTAATGAGATCAGGTCATTAAAGAAAAGTCTTACGAAGCATGAAAGTTGGAAGCTTTCTCAACACTGAATGAAGAATTTTAGAAATAAAAGAATATTATCCCAGCATTGCATTAAGAATATAGAGTTAAAATTCATGGATGTCACAAGCTTGCAGGACATATTAATGTGTTTTTTTACCTACCTACATTACTTTTATGACATCTCTATCCCAAAAGTCTGTAAGGTCCCAAAAAAACATGATTTAAAGCAACAAAATCCACTTAAATATAAAGGGGCACAGATACATGAAACACACACACTCCTACCACCTCTATTTTTATGTGCAAAGTAACTACCACATGCTGACTGTTTGAGGTAGTGTGTGTGTGTATATATATATGTGCACAACTATTTTTATTGGCAGCAATAATAGCAAGAATATTGGAAATAGCCAAATATTGGGGAGGTGGGAAATTATTAGCAAGGCACAGAACGTTGCCCAAACCTTTTCTTTTATGAAATAAATATTATTTTTGGATTGCATTATTTTAATAATTGACTTTGAAATTATTATTCTTGCCACAAATCTGGAAGGATAGGGAATACACCAAGATGCCTTACTGGTATAAAATGGGAAGTCTTTCAGCCACAAACAACCGAGCCAAGATGAGGAGAATTAATGGGACCTAGTCTTTGGAGGACGTAATGCAGTTATTGCTTCCAATATGAGCAGTGCATGTCTGGGAAATGATGTTTAAGGAAGAGGGAGGTGCTGGCCAGGCCCTTCTTTCTTCACATTAAAACCATAAAGAAGGGCAGGAGTGGTGTCTCTGGCTGAAGAGCTTCCTGAGAAGGCAAAATAAAGTTCTCAAACGCTGTTCAAGGAAAATCACTAGGAAAAAAACATCCTTCAAAAGCCCTGCTCAGTACCAGTCTAGAGCTGAGGAGAACCGCTGGAAAAAGTGTCCTTCAAAAGACCTGATGAATACTATTCTTCAAACAGCAGCAAAAGTTTTATTTTAAATATTCTTTTGATTATGCCTAATATTGCCTTATATTGTATATCTTATATTTATATAATATACGTATATGTTACATACATAACTACATGCAAGGGTTCTGGGCCCGGACTGGATATTCTGAGCTCTGTAACTTTTAATCATAAACAGGATTTTGTGACCTGCTACACTGCTAATTTGAAAGTGGGGACGGGCAATATTTTTCGTGGTGCAGGCATCACACAAACTGTGAAAAGATAATGTTTTAAAAAATGGAAATAACCTAAGTGATCTTGAAACCCACTTCCTGAATTATGAAAGGTGAAACTAAGGGGGTTGTGATTTTATTTTCAAAGCATAGCAATCAGCTCTTCCAGAATGAATGTAGCACAGACGTTATGCAACATCGCTGCAGCGTGCTAGCTTTTGCAGAACTTCAAGTGCATAACTACTGTTTATTACATTATAATAAGCTCCCCTGGTCCCTGAAACGTTCAGCCATTAACACGATATAGTTTGTTTGCATCCATAGGTGGCGCTAGAAATGTATAAAAACCAACCCCGTGGAATATTCACCACAAAAATAAAATAATTGCTGAACTCCCTCCAGGATGTCAACCAATAAATTAAAGAGAATCTTTTCAAACTGAGTATTTTCGAAATTAAAAATGCAAGCTCAGAAGTTCCTAACAGCAATGATTAATCACAATATATGATGTGTCTTTCATAGAACATTAAGCGAGCCTAGAATGGATTTGGCTTTGCTATTAGTCAAACTAAGGAAGATGAATGGAGAGCAGAATTCGTGCAAAATATCTGCAGTTTTCTGGTTCATGGTATGTTCTCATCTGACTTCATGAGCCTACTTGGTCCACAGCGTGTAACTATTAAGGAGATCATTTTCAGTATGTGAAGAATTAGGCGAGAATGATTCAGTTTATAGAGAGTATTCAAAATGTTAAGCAGATGCTTTTCATAGTCCGGTTATCCTAGGTGCTTTAACTGAAGATGCCAGGAATAAATCCTAGAGTATTTTTAATATTTCTGTTATATCCCACCCTGATATAAATAAGGAACTGTATTTATCATAATAAACATTCATAATTAAAACAATCACCAGAGAAAACGAACCACCCACAAGTTCAATGGCATTCATTATAAAGGCCATTAATCACTTATAAGCAGTAAATAAAAAATAAGGCTTATCCAGGTGCCAAACACTGCTAAAGCTTGCAACTAGTAGACATCTTATAGGAGGACCTTCCAGACTGTGGAATAAGGAAGTTCACCTGATATATTTCCATTAATAGCGAGGAAACGCATCTTAACCTCTTGATAAGTTTCCATTAACAATTTGACAAAGAAATTTATCTTCCACCAGATCTATGGGGTGGGGGGTAGACAACTGGGCAGAGATAAGCCTTCATCAGGATAATTGCTTTTTCAGAGCTCCTCTGTTCTGTTTGCAATGGATATCATGCCACAAAACCAGGAGTACGCAATTCTGAGTGACTGGGGGTTGCACAGGCCATGGATTGGGGGCAGGGGACGCACTTCTAACAACAGGTAGGGTTGGGACAAAGAAGTGCAAAAATTAAACTGCACTATAGTTAGCATGATTATATATCTTTAATAATTTCTGTTTAAGTATATTAGAATATCCATTTCAGTGGCTTTCCCTAGAAGATTCTAGAAAGATCAGCTTGCACCTTGGGGGTCACCGTGCATTAAATTATGTCTCCTGCATTTGTATAAGAATATGCGTACTTACATGCAATGGCAGTGTTCTACATATACCCAGTTCTGATTAAAAAAACAACAACAGTCCTACCAAATGGTTTATGCTTTAGCTTGATAGAATAGACTTTCTAGGCCTTTCAGCCCTAAGAGAGGGTTGACCCTTTGCACTTCCGCTGAACGCTTTAAAGTTTAGCCCCCTGCTTTATACAAGCATTGGAGCGGTGTCATTTACTTCATTTACAGTTTACTCTTTTTGTAATTCAGAACGCTCGACTGCCTTAGGGCTAGTTCACACAAGCAAGAGGATTTCAGGTGATCAATCGCTAAAAGTGTATTGAGGGTCCCACACTTGTAGCTGCTTCAAAAGACACGGAGTGACAGCAAACTCATGGGACTTCCCAGTCATCAATATCGATATCCCAGTCTGCCTACGAGAGTTTGTCCACTCTTGGTGGTTGGTGGATATTTTGGACCTCATTAATAAAGAAGAAATTCAAGTATGGAAAATAATACAGCACTAACAGGTTTAGGAACAAAGTACTTGCGGGTGGCCTCAAGATGGAAGGATGGCCTCAAGATGACGATGGGTGAGCATCTCCAATCTTTTTATTTGCTATTCTCATTTTTATATACTTTTATTTTGTATATACTGTAATGCCTGGGACCTGTCTGCTTCAGAAAAAATAAAATTGGCCACATAAATACCTTAAGTGAAAGAAATACATGAAAGGAGTCAAGAATGGGAAAAAGGAAGAAGAGACAGTGTGTCTACTCTGCAACACAGATCTCGCCCAGGCCTTCGAAGTAGCAGAAAATGGAAAGATACACAACAGACAGACAACCTCAGCAAGTAACTCTGACCCTACCTACTCTCCAGATAGATATAACTCTTCTAACTTCCAAAACCATGGGATCTACAGACAGAGATGAAAAGTCACAGCTTACAGAACTTTCCTCCTCCCTGGCTTGTGCAAGATGGGGATGAAATGAACTTAAAAAGGGAGAACGTAAGTACTTACGGTAGGAGATTAAATTTGATTTTGCTTAAGTCCATATTCTCGCATACGCCATATATTAAAAGCCCTAACTTTGCTGGCAACTTAGAGCTGTTGTGGTAAAAAAAACTTCTAAAATTCGTACTTGCTGATCACAAGCCAGCCACTGGTGCGCTTAACAGCTTTGCCAAGGTTAAGACAAAGGCTGAAGCTTACGTTTCCTCCCTTCTGAAAATGGTCTTTCCCTCAATGGGTTTTATTTTATTCCTAATTAACCTTTTTGTGCAGTCAGGAATTACGTTTTTCTCTCCAAAAGCAATTCAGTGACATTGTAGGAACTGCAACTTTCTTAAGGTAAAATAAGTATGCCAAGTAAACAGGAACGAAAACAAGAACCCCGGTATACTACGTTTTATAAAGGTATAATTATAGATCGTATTAATAAGAAACCAAATAATTAACAATGCTCCCTTAAGAAAACAGTCCTGCCCCCCATGTTAAAAAAAACCACACTGCTTTACTTTCCTGACTCCTCCCTGTCTCTCCACCCTATGGATTTCTGCCAAGTCAAGGCAACTTGTCCAAACAGGACACAGCCTTGATAAGATTTTGCTCACACCCTGTACTTCAGCAAGCTAAGTGAAGAAATTGGTTTTTGTATGCAAATAAGGACAGGTATAAAGGTAAAATAAAAAAAAATCCTAAGGCATAGGTCTGATAGCGATGAGAGAGCACCTGGTGAAGGAAAAATGAAACCTATTTCCTGCTCTAGCTTCTGCTGAATCTGGTTCTGTCTCTTTCAGCACAGAAACTGCCCTCATTTCTGTGCGGAAAGAGACAGAACCAGATTCAGTGAAAGCAAGAACAGAAAATCTATTTCATTTTGTTTGTTTATTCATCATATTTACAAAACATGACTCTGGGCGGCATACAATAAAAAAACCTGTTAAGACACTGATATAAAAGCAATTAACAAGCAAAAAATATTAGAATTATGATTGAAAGGTGAGGAGAGGGCAACAGATACTAATATTAATGGAGCCACCTCAGCAACTCATTGTTCCCTTGGGATTCCCAAGTCTGACGACATAACCAAGTTCTGACGGCCTCACAGAAAATTAACAGGGAGGAGTCAACCTCACCTTGGGGGGATGATGTTCCATGAGGTGAATGCCATGGCAGAAAAGGCCTGTCTCCTGGGTCCGCCAGATGGGACCCGCAACGTACCTCATCTGCCAGACCTGATGGGACCGACAGATGTAATCGGGAAGAAGCAGTCCCTCCAATAACCCAGCCCCATGCCATGAAGGGCTTCAAAGGTCAAAACCAGCACCTTGAATTGGACCCGGAAGCAATGCAGGTCGCAGAGCAGAGGTGTAATGTGTGCCATCCTAGGGGCATACACAACTGCCCATGCCACTGCATTCTGCACCAGCTGAAGCTTCTGGATACTCTTCAAGGGCAGCCCCATTACAGTAGTCTACCTGGGAGGTGACCAGGGCACGAGTGACCATGAGTAGAGCCTCATGATCCAAGAATGGGCACAACTGGTGCACAACATGAAGCTGTGCAAAGACCCTCCTAGCCAAGACTGCCACCTGGTCTTCGAGTAGGGGTCTCGAGTCTAGAAGAATCCCCAGGTTGTGCAACGGGTCTGTTTGGGGCAGTGCGACCGCATCCAGCACCAAGGTTGGTATAGTTCCAGAACCCGTAGGCTCCAAAACCCACTCAGTCTTGCCACCGTTCAGCTGAAGACTGATGTTCCCCATCCAGACTACAATCTTGATCACTCACTTACTTGCTCGCTTCTACAGGCCCCATATGTTTCTGCAAATACAATTTCCTTAATTTCCATTTTCGTATGAGGAAGGAAGGAAGAAGGAACATCTTCCAATGGTGGTGTGAAATTCACTTGCTGCTCTCAAACTCCTAAAACTTAGAAGGGAGGCTGCAATCAAAAGAAAACATTTACTTTCCCTTCATCAGTCCAACAAATACTTTTGACAAAGTTTTCTTAGTTTAATAAAATACTCTTTAAGTGCTTTAGCAGAAATATTTAAATATAGCTTAAAATAGAGGCAAGAACAGAGTTTTGCGCAACTTAGAGAAAATAGCTTTAAAAAAACACGCTACTAAAATGAAAACAAAATAACTTGCTCATTGCCAACATGTTACTGCATATATCAAAACAATGTCTTTTCTAAAAGACTAAGATAATTCTATTGTTCCACCCTTCAAAAAGTTCAATTACATTTAGAGAGAGAGAGAATGAGAATTACTGGAAAAACATAGTAGAACAATGATTTAAGTGAGTGAATTCAACACACTTTCAGATAAAGCTTTGATTGCCAATCACACTGTTTCTTTTACAGGGTTTATGAAGGATACAGCTGTTGTCATCTTGCAGTTGTAAACCTTATTTTCCCACAATTTATTCTGTTTTTGGTTTGTTTTAAGGGGGGAAAAAAAACAGCAAGGAGAAAAAGAGTAACTAGCTGAAAAATGCATTTTCACTGGTCGCTCATATTCACTGAGGGAATGAACCTTTTTCTGGAACTGAATCCCAACTTGAAAACCTGAAACACAGTACCTGAAGATTCAAAGACAGTTGATGGCTTCTTCCAAACCCTATGATTCTGTGCCAGGTCTGTTGTGAACAGAATGTGGAAATATTTTAACTCTCACTGAGCTCAGTCGGACTAACTTTCTGAGTAAACTTTTTGAGCTTCTACAAGTGTTAAACATATTGAAATTACTGTAACATGAATTGTGTTAAAAATCACAGATCGACTTTCTTAAACTATTACTACCCTGAACAATTAGTATAAACTAACATTAAAGCAGAAGTAGTCCATCCACTAACTTATCTATTCCATTCACATATTATTTCTTAAGAATGAAAATATTCTTTAACCTGAGAGATTACATAGTTAGGATTTGAGTCAAAATTCCTTAGCAGATCTTGAATAAAATTGAACGGATGAAACAAAGAATGCATTTGTCTGACTTGTCCTCAGTGCGTGCTATGATTCAATTGTGTCTTTGTGATCTAACTAGATCCTTCACGTTTGTATCATTAGTTTTGTGAGAACAAGAAAAGATCTATTAGCACAAAGAAGATGATGAAAAGAAAAATACAATGCAATTGACATTTGTATATCATTTCAGTCAGTTTCTGTCATTTTGACATCATTCTGATGCGAATGATACAAATCACATAATTTCTGATTTAACAGACAGTGGGAGTTAATAGATGATGTTTTTCTCCAAATGGTCAGTTAAACTGAGTTTCACTTAAAAAGTATTTGTACTTTACTAAAATGGCAAAATATATTATTTTTATACTCCATGAAAAGAAAGTAAAAAGGTATCTGTGAATAAATAACAAACTACCACTCAATGATTATTTGAAATATTATATACATATATAATTATATACATTTATAAATTATAAAAATAGAAATATTATATAAATTATTGATGAACTGCAGGGCCTAGAAGATAGCACAAAAGAGTTTTGCTACATTCTAAAGAAAAAATAGTAAAGATATTTGTGATTCTACTAAACAATAAGAAATATTTGTTGAAGATAGGACACAGTTGCTACTCTGCTTAATGTTACTAGTTTAAACCTGAGACAGGTTAGCGGATTATAAATATAATTTTCCTACTGATATACTTAGCAGTAGTTGGGAGAAAGTTTGTGTGGTCTTCCTTTAGTGGAGATTATATTGTCACCAGAAATCTGATTTATCAGTTTCCATGAAAAAACTGCATTCCTGTATGACTGGTATTACATCGTGTTTTTATTTGCTAGGTGCCCCTCTGATTACCTATTTGACTGGCTTCCCCACATGTCTAGTGGATCAAATTAATTTTCAGAGAGTGCCTGGTGAGATCCCCAAACCCTGGTGAGCTGTTCTTCTGAAGTTTTTGTTGCCAACCTGAATGGTATGACAACATTGGCCCTGGATGGAATTGCACCTGAGTGGCCTCTCCTTTTCCAGGGAAACACTTTAGAGAAACATTGTGGAAATAATGTGATAGAAGAGTGGTGGAAGACAAAGAGCGAATTGGACTGTACACAGGTTAATAGCTTGGGCTCAAGCCTACATAATGGTTAGTTCTGCCACCTGTGGGTTAGACCTCTACCCTTCCTGACTGACGAACACCTTAAGGGAGGTAACAGAGGATGGATCAGGTGCTTAACGCATCCTTGGGAGAGGAGGTAGCCCTGCCTGCTTTGAAGAAAGAGGTGGGATGCTCCCTTCTCAAGAAGCCATTGCTCAACCAGCAATAGTAGATAAGTATTGTCCTGTCTCCAACCTTCCATTTTTAGGGAAAGTTGTTAAAAAGGTGATGGACCTGCAGTTACAGACAACCCTGTAAGAAATTTTAGTTGTAATTGTTAATGGTTATGTTGTTAATACTGTTTCCCTCCTCCTTTTTTTTTCCTTTTAACCTTCCTACTGAAAGATGGGAAGATAAGCCTCTCAGAGTCCTTTTAGCCTAGAGTAGCTTATAAATCCAAGTTAGTATGTAAGTAAACAAACAAATATATTCCAAGTTTATATCTATGAAACCTTACTGAGGGCTTCCAGCCAGTTCCGAGAGACAATAAGCTTCCTTATCAGAGCAGAAAGCTATCTAGCTTCCTGTCTTAAGCTTCAGCTTCCACAGAGAAACACAGGCATGAAATTGAACAAGATGAAAAAGCAGATGTTTAAAAACAAGTGAAGTATACAGAATGGTATGGAGTTTTTTCCCCTTTTGAAACAGAGAAGAAAGAACTGCTCTTATCAATGTATTAAAAGGAATGAAGTTTTGATTTTTTTTTTTTTAATGATATGCACAAAACCAGTCTTCTATTAATTCAGGTGGCTTGTATTAGTCAGGATTTGTAGGCAAGGCATACGAGGTGGCTTCAGTGCAGGAACTTCTAGAGAACTTTCTGTCTGAATATGATAGTCTAGGTGCCCATGGCAGCTCAAAATGGATACTTCCTCCCCCATTTTGTTTCATATGTGAAATGTCCAAAATCTCATGAGATTTCCATGTTTCCAGATGAGATCTCTCAAGCTGTCAGGGTGAGACTAAAATCTTGCTTTTGGTGGTTTTCACACAACAAATAAATAAAATGTACTATTTTTAATTTACATATATGTTTTTGCATCAGGAAATCTTGCTATATTCCTACATGGCCCCAATTTCCCTTTGTAGGTATTGCTATGGCGCCATGCAATTTCAGTAACAAAGTGAAGGAATGGCTTCAATCAAATTGAGAAATGTAATGTCTGCCTGTAGCTTTCAGAGGATCCTTTTGCTATATATCTCTAAAAATCTCTGACTGAGAATTGACTGCTAGCCCTGAATGAGTTAGGAAAAAGGCAAACTACCGGTATTATATGCTGCCAAAAACTCAAGTCAATCTAAATGATGTTTTCAACAATGCATACCTCAGAGTGAAGGTGCATGTTCTGGTATTTTAAAACATCCCCTCTCCATTTTTCTTTTAAACAGCCAAATTTTAAGTAGGCCAAACAAAGTGGAGCCATGTAAAACTAAGCACCAGGGTGAATAATTCAGCCTACCAGTAAATTTCAGCCACAAAAGTGAAGTGAACGGATGAATATCTGAGGTACATTTCTACGAGTTCACTTCACTTTACTTTAAATACATAAGGAGGACAGGAAGTAACTCCCTCACACGTTCATAAATTTATAAACAATAAAATTCACCCCAATTTCAAGAGGCGGTACTCTTGTTCCTGTTGTTTTAGGGACAGAACATCCCTGGGGATGATGTTACATGATGACTTAGTGTTAGTTCCAGATGTCTTTTGACCCTGGAATTCATATGGAACAGCTGGACAGTTGAAGGTGGACATGGCAACCAATACTTTTGTTAAAGGGAAAAAAAATGGAAAGAAAAATCACTCAATTTATATATTTAAGGTAAAAATGAACGTTTTAGAAAAAATGTTCCCAGCAGGTACTAATTAACTTCTTCCTAGCACTTCAGGAATGAATAAAGCAGAGGAACATATCTGGCCAACTCTAAAAGATAGCAGTAGACTATACAGTAGGATTTTTGCAAAATAGTCAATGTTGGCTTACACACATCCCACAGGTAAGTCACTCTCCTCTGCCCTGTCACTAAGGGAATTTTTAGCTGTGAAAAAGAGAAAATTAATTTTTCGTGCAGCTGGAATGAGCTGTACCCATTAAGTAAATGGGTATCCATATCTTGTGTAAAATATATGTCTCTTAAACACTTGGCATGGCATACTATCTTGTTTCTAACTAAATATATTTCCTTTTGGAAAAGAGATGTAGCAATCTACTAAAGGGACTTGTTAACTCTGGCGCTGAACCCAATGGAATCTGAATATGCTCAATTCTTTCTATATTGCACTGAATTCATATTGCAGTTAAACATAACTTTTATGTATTTTTCTTTAAAAAACGTAAAATAATCCTCATGAATCTGACTGTTTAACCAGAGCAGCTTCACCTTTCCATTTTAGTGATTTTCTTGTTCAAAATCTTACCAGTTATTTTCTTACTTTCTTTTTCTTCCTAGCGTTTTTCCCGCAGGTGCGGGGTCTGCTTTTTTTCAGATCAACCAAATGTTGATCCATTGGTTGCAACAGGAATTGACTGACTGGCTTGTCACCCAAGCCTGACCTCATGGGCTGAAAGAGAGTGACTGGTCCACAGTCACCCAGCTGGCTTTCACGTATCAGGTGAGGCCAGAGCTCACAGTCTCCTGGTTTCTAGCCTGGTACCCTAAGCACTAGATCACCCTCACTCTTATTTTCCTACTATGACACCTGTACCTTTTTACCCAGCTGAATGCAGTGACTGGAGATATTTTATCCCAAACAAAATTCTCCTCTCAGTTCTTAGCATAAAATTGCAATCTTTATAGACATTTTCCAGGTCAGGTTAAGATTCATGGAAGCGAGTTTCCAAAGGCCATTGAT